ATGCGATATAGATAAGAGTTGGGTGTCATCCGCGTACATGTGGAAGTTGACCCCATCTTTGCGGATGATGTCACCAAGAGGGAGCATGTAGAGGTTAAAGAGGAGATGACTGAAGACAGAGCCCTGAAGAACAATACACAAGACTGTGCTGGGCGACCCTATTATTATTTCATTATTATTATTATTATTATTATTATTATTATTATTATTATTATTATTATCACCCCCATCCTTGCCCAACTCTACTGGCTTCCCATCACACAGAGGATACAGTTCAAGATCCTGGTCCTCACCTTCAAAGTCTTACATGGTCTTGCTTCCCCCTACCTTCCCGATCTCCTAACCTCCTACCAGCCTGTTCGCTCCCTCCGCTCAGAGGACTCTGGCTTGCTTCACATCCCCCACCTTGCTCGCCCCACTATCGGCGTGCGGACCTTCTGCCACTCTGCACCCACCCTCTGGAACTCCATTCTGCAGTCCCTCCAACTCGCCCCCTCCCTTGCCACTTTCAAGACCCTCCTCTTCGACTGTGGTTTCGATCTCCCTGCTTACCCCCTCCCGCCCTCCCCCCTCCCCCACCCCGACCCTCAGCTCGGGTCCTCCCAACATGAAAGGCGCTATATAAATTTAATTTTGTTGTTGTTGTTGGTCCATTGCCTTATGCCGGATGGCTGTCCTAGTGGAATGGACTCCTGCCAAATGAAGTGTCTGGCTCGAGTTCACAATCCTTGTTCTCACTGTTAAATCCCTCCATGGTCTTGCCCCTTTTCTCTACCTCTACAACCTTCTCAAATCCTACCAACCCGGCTGCTGCCATCACTCAGGGTATGCCCTGTGACCTTCCCATCTCACCACCGGCGGCCAGCCTTTCAGCCTAACTGGCCCCACTATCTGGAACACAACTGTGGAACTCAGCCATAGTCACTCCGACTCACTCTCTTATCTCTTTCAAGGTCTGTCTCAAGATCTACCTCTTCAGTCTTATTTCCCCCACCCCCCTAGGCTCTCGCCCCCAGATCTTATGTCAAGCCAAGACTGTTAATTGCCTTGAGACGCCCTCCCAATGTGTAAGGCCCAATATAAATGTGAATTTGTATTGTATTGTGTCCATACTGTAATTTATAAATCCTATCTCTCTTTCGATTGATTTTATAGAACATCTTCCTTGCAAAGATTTGTCCAGATATTCTGTAGTGTATAATAATAAACATAATAATCATAACGAGCCTCTCATTTTATACAGCTCCTTTTATGTCAGGAGGATGTTTCAAAGTACTTCACCAGATTTACTGTAAAGTGTGGTGACTGTGTATTTTGCAGGCAAATACCTACAATTAGTTTCACTTAACCCCCTTGGGGGAATCAACAGGATTTTCTTTTGGTTTCCCCTGTTACAGAAAGCAGGAATCACCTTTGCAGGAAGCTTTTGTTGTGTGATTTGAAGACTTTGGTGATTTCTAGTGCAAAAAAGTTATGGATTGCTGTGTTTTGTGCTGTTTTACATGTTTCCCAATTTCTGTGTTGACGCTATCCTGAATGGATTTCAATGGTTTCTAATGATTGCTGCTGCTCGATGGAGTGTTTCAGAGAATTGTTTTATAACTGTCAAGGGAAAAGGGCAACGAAAATTGCAGAGGACATAATGTATGACAGAGCACGAGTCACATGAAGTATAATCTTCAGTGTAAATAGTGCTGGATTTAAAACCAATCTACCACAAATAAACTGATATTCAGCTTTCCCATGACATGAATGATTTGTAATCTTTACAGTTCTATCTTATAGTACTGTTGGCATTGTGGCTTTAAGAATGTGTGATATTTCTTCAGTCCACCAGATGGTGTAGATAGAAGTTTGTGTCTAGTGGTGAAACTAACCAGAGCAATGCAAGTGGTACAGATTGCACCTCCCAAACCTACAGCCTCTGTGTTATTTCTTCCCACAGCCTAACAATGGCAATTTGGAAAAGATCCTGAATTGTGATGGTTCAGCTGCTGAGACCATAGATGTAATCCAGAATCGTAATAGGTGTCAGCTTAGCTCAGTTGGCTCAGAACGCTTGCCTCTGAGTCAAAGGTTGTGGGTTCAAGCCCCACTTTGGGACTTTGAACTCACATTGTTTAGGCTGACACTCCAGGGTAGTACTGGGGTTGCATTGCGTTATTGAAGGTTTTGAATGAGATGTTAAACTGAAGTCCTGTCTGCCTGTTTAGATGGAAATTAAAGATTCTAAAAGAAAAGGGAGTTTCCCCGATGAGATTAATCCCAACATGAAAAGTGTTATGTCAACCATTGACATTATTATTTAATAATAAAATAACAATTATGTTGGCCCAGATAATGACTTCACATTTACTCTGTGTTGTGCCTGAACAATTAATGAATCCAATATAGTGTAAACTGACAACATTACCACAAATAGCTCCATTAGAGGTCCCAGTTAACTTTAATGAATCAGTAGATGTGATAATAATAATAATAATAATAATAATAATATAATCCTTGCATTTGATATAGCACCTTATCACGTTTGAGATAAATAAATGATCAATATGAAATACAAAAAATATTATGTGATAACACATCTATGCATTCTTTCCATAGAATTGGTTGAAGAACTGGCATGACTTAAAGCTTAAAGTCCTGATATTCTGGGTCTCACTAATAGTTAAAACCAGAGCTGAACTAACCTAGCAAGACACGCTGGTGCTCAGTCAGCCAGCAGAAGGAATCAAGTATGAGAGTTTTTTCACACTAAAGACTGAAAAGGTTTTCTCAAAATTGTACTTTTACCTAGGCTAGTCCCAGCTGGATCTTGAACCTAAGTCCATATTGATTACCACATTTTATCTTAGGTCTTTAAACATCACTACATTCACAAGCTTCTAGCTTGCAATGTTTCATCAGCTGCTGAAATCCGCACCTCCAATCATTGTCACATATTAATAAAGCCTATTGGTAACATTATCAAAGAATGTGCATAAATAAGCATCAGACTGATTAATTTAGTTTTGCCAGCCGGGTGTCTGTCACACAAGAAAATCCTTGACTGAACAGAAACCCTACCAAGAATTCCATATATGTATACCACCTACACATACATGGAAATTTCCTTGTGAGTGGAATGGAATGCACACTCTCTTCCTGGAGAAACACACCCTGCTTACTAATTCCAGAGTGTATTAGGTGCAGGTTGCAAAGAGCCAAGGCTCAGGGACCCCAGAGCGAATGTTGGGGAACTGTAAGAGTTTAATCAGCTAAAACAGCACAGTTTGCCATTGAAAGCACTGACTGACAAGCTTCCTAATCCGTGTTCAACTAGGACCACCTTACACACTAGGGGTTTGGCTTGCAGGGTTAACAGAAGCTGATTGGGAAAATTCCCTGTCCTTCCAAGTTCTGCAGACGAGACAAGTTGACTGGTCTGCCGTTAGCATTGACCTGGAATATTGGCTCATGAACCAAGGAATTCCTACTTACCTCCCCCCAAAGGAGGATGATGAATGTTGCAATGAGGATAGAATGGATAACCCATTCAAAGCAGAAACAAGTTGAAGTGAAAATAGATTTTGGTTAGTCAGGTTCTATCACTTCTAGAAACCCATCCCCATGCTCAAGAGTATCCAAACTAAACTGAAAATTCCATTCATCCCACCTACACATGGAAATCCCAGAGATAGATTGTTGGAATGGAATGTGCACTCTCTCCCTGGAGGGATGCATCCCGCTGCTGGAAAGTATTAGATGCAGATAGGCAATAGCCAAGGCTTGGGAACCCCAGAGTGTGCATTGGGATATTGGTGGAGTCTAACCAGCTAAAACCGCATAGCTCGCCATTGATATCACTGCTTGGCAAGCTTTCTCACTGCTTGTCCATCTAGGACCACCCTACCCATTGTGTGCTTTGCCTTAGTGGAGTCCTGTAGCTCAGTGGTTAGAGCACTCGCTTTGCAAATGAGAGACTTGGGTTCAATTCCCGGCAAGGTGAAACCTTGGGCAAGTTTCCTTACTCCACACCCCTGTTAATAATCCTTCAAGAAAAAAAATAGTAAATTGGTCACTTCAGTCCACGACTGTTTGTGGGATACTGCTGTGCGCAATTGGCTGCCGCATTTCGCCCACAAATATACAGTCAATTCACTTTACAGTCTATTCTGTGAAGCGCTTTGAGACGTCTAGAAGACATGAAAAGTGCTATATGAAATGCAAGTATTATTATTATTATTACAGGGTTAACAGGAGCTGAGTGGTATGACTCCCTTTCCCCAGTGACTGGTCGGCCCTTTCAGATCCTGCCGATAAGCTAGGCTGGCTGTGCTGTCATCAGCAGTGCCCTGGAATACTGCAGATGCACCTGGCTCAGTAACACCGGACTACAGAGACTGCCACAGAGGGCTGGCTCGATTCCAACATACCAATGCCAAACATGTTACCTTGTCTGATTATTTGCTGGACATATATTTCTCATACACAAAAATAGATTTTCATATCAGTGAGATCAGTGCTAAAAATAAATGAATCATAAATTCTGAAAAGTTTCCGAATTATAGATATATACCAGGCTGATAAACAAGCAGAGTCTTATGCAACCAAGCAGAGCACACAAAAGTCAATGAAGGCAGATTACACAAAAGTTTGGGTAAAACAGTCAGTTTGTATTAGCAGAAGAATATGTAAGGAATATATTTTAAAAAACCTTTTATAGTACGTCAAGCTTGAATGACTCTCTGATTCTGAAAAAAAGTAAAATAATGTTCGGAATATTTACAGTTAAAAGAACACAGAAGTAAATGTAAGTGTCATTGTATGATCATTAATGCATCAACCCAACACTTACCCAGGCTCTGACGTACAAGATAACATGCTAACAGTGAAAATTGCTCCTCGTGGAATCTTTCAGCGGAAGTATATTTGGATGAACATCTGACAACAAATCAAACTTCTTACAAATGCATACTCTGGTGAATCATGTATGTGACAATAAATCATTCATTACTTACTGGAAAATACAGAAGCAAAGATCCAAAAAGAATTGTCTCCAACAGCACCAGCCCTGACGCTCGAATACTCTGAAAGAACGAAAAAGAGATAATATATTTACTTACAGAACTAAAACATAATAGAGTATTCTAAGTAAACAAGTTAACAAACAAATGCCACCTAATGCCAAACAGCAATGCCTTTGAAATAGATTAATGCACTTGGCAGGAAAGTTCAACTCAGCTATGCTCACCAATGTGCTTAGTTAAGATGAACAGCCATAGTCCTGATGAAACATCTTCATAATTGGCACCAACCACAGCTTCTATCTCACAGGATTCTACCAATTTCAGCACATAAGGCCTTAATTTAGTCCACTGTTCCTGTGGAGTACCAGCTCCCCCATCAACATGTGACATTTTAAAAATGATTTCCTACCAGTTTTCATTTTTAATTTTTCCATTTTCTGCTTCCTTGCTTACTGTTTATTGCCTATTTATAAATACTTAAATCTGCTACTATGTGCTTCTTGAAGGTTCACTTCACGTTCACATTACCCTTTAAACATATGCATCTCACAGTCCAAGATGGAATGCACAAGATGAAAACCTCTCGCTTGGTGTTGCCCAACTGAAAGGTATAGAAATAAACAAAACATGGTCAAACTTCATACAGGATGGGCTATCGGATGCAGAATCTTAAGATATGTTATCCTTTAATGTCAGGGACTTGTGCTTGAATCCATCTCTTAATGATGGGATATGGAAGTTTCCTTTCTCTGTTGGCTGTAAGATTCCTTACAAGAAATCAGATTAGGTAGTTTCATTCCAGTTCCAAGTAGATCTGCTCACGCAGAAAGAAACTGCCTGTAATGTCACACATATAGACATCATTTCAATCTGACCTGGAATGATGCAGTAGGAATTTATCTTTGGAGTCTGGGATTAAGGCAGAGTAACGAGAGTAGTCAGAACTCAACCAGAGGTTTTGGGTTCAAATCCCACATCAGAACTTTGAGCTCATAGTCTAGGCTGACACTCCAGTACAGTCCTGCATTGGTAGACGTATTGACCCTTTGGATTAGATGAAACTAAGGTCCTGTCTCCCTGTTCACGTGGACATTAAAGATCCCACAGCATTAATCAAAAAAAGGAGGAAGTTTCGCCTGATGTCTCTGCCAACAATTCTCTAAATAAACTTCATACTTGTTTGTGTGACATTGTTATGTGCAAATTGTCTGCCATGTCTGCCTATAATATATATACCGTGAAGTGTTTTGAGGCGCCCTTTTAATGTGAAGGGAGCTATATCATAGATATAGACATAGGTGGAACTTCTCCCGCTAAGAAGTTGGAAAAAGCATTGGAATCCCCCACAATCTGGAACTCCATCCTACAGTCCTCCACCTTGCCCCCTCCCTTGCCTCCTTCAAGACCCGACTAAAGACCCTCCTCTTTGGCCAATCTTTGGATCACCCTGCTTCCTCCATCCTCCCCAATCCCGACCCCCAGCTCAGAGCTGAAATACTGACTATCCAGCATCTTGGGACATCTTCCCGACATGAAAGACGCGAAACAAATGTAATTTTGTTGTTGTTGTGGTTGTTGCAATGAAGCCTTGTTAAGAAATAGGACGCTGAACCATTGGGCATTTGCACTTCAGTGCTCTTACTGCATTAGTATTCAATAAAGAAAGGAGTTTTCAGGCATGTAGTGTAATTTAGATGCTTTGATGCACTTGTATGGGTAGCTGTAGGGACTTTCATTTGAATAGCCTATTTTAGGTAGCTATAGAATTAAAGGGCTCAACATTCAATTTGGCCTGAAAATTCAACGGCTTGGATCACTTTGATAAGAATTAAACTAAGCCATTGAATATGCATTAGTTCCCCCGTCCTTACAGTAATGTCTCCGGAGTGTTTCTCAAGGCAGAAATCACTAAAATAGCTGGATATTTAATGGATAAGATGGTTCTGAAAAGCTTTACAATTCATTGCGTGTATGGGTGTATGTTTTGTTGGCATGTCTCTGTGTATGTGTATGTCTACTGACAGTGATAAAATAATAGTCCACGTTTCCTTCTCTTCCCGCCAAATCAGAACATATTTCTGTTTCCATAACCACTTGTTACCGAAAACAAATCCCCAAATTGCTTAGTGTCTGAATTGTCAAATGTACATTGTGCATTTTTTAGAAAAGCAGATTGTTTAAAATTAAGTATTACTCATTGGTGCACGCTCATCTGAATTAAATTTGTTTTCTTGCAATACAGTAGTTATCGAACATGAGCATGAAAGGAAATAGGAATCCTTAAGGACAAAAGGCAGGTTGGAGATTTCAATGTCAGAACACCTGTCTGAGGTGTCAGATATCTACGAACTGTATATGAGCCATTGGCCATTTAGGCTAACATTGTTGCAATTAGTAAACAACATAAAATATGGAACGAGAAATGATTGATTAAGCCTCTTGGTTCTACGTACAATAAGCAATTAATCTTGTTACATGCTCCATCCAATTTATCCAACTTCTTAATGGATGTGATCATCTATAGGTGCCCAAGGTTATAAAGCTCAATAGAATTTGTCCCTGACTGACAGGAGAAATCTGCCAAAAACTGCATTAGTTTGCATTATTCAATGCTGGAATTTGTACTCTATAATCCCAGAAGCACAGGAAGTATCATGTTTAGAGGAATATTTGATAACCTTTGTGTACACGTGTTCTAAAATCATGAATCCAGCTCAATGAAGCATCTGAGCCCATTAGCCCTCCTACTGCACAGGATCAAACGAGAGGCAGGGATGTAATAGGCCTCTCAGTCCATTTGATCCCATCCTTCCAGAATGCACACTCTAGCATTCTCCCATTACATCATCAAGCTATTTTATAAATGAATCCAGGATCTAATCCTGAAGTACCTTCTGGTAATCTGTTCAAGTTGGGTTAAATACTCTCTTGGTAAAGAACATCAACAATGTCCCCAAAATGCAACAACAACAACAACAACTTGGATTTATATAGTGCCCTCCATGCCGGACGGCGTCTCAGAGAGCTTTACAGTAACGGATCCCGGGGCCAAGCCAGGGGGATGGCGGGAGGAAGGTGACCAAAGGCGCAGTTGAAAAGAAAGGTCTTCAGCAGAGACCTGAAAATGGGAAGGGAGGGAGCGAGGCGAAGGGATTGAGGAAGGCAGTTCCAGAACCTCAGGGCATAGTGGCTGAAGGCAAGGCCGCCGAGGGTGAAGTGGAGGACTCGGGTGATGAGGAGGAAACCAGACCTGGAGGAACGAAGGCAATGGGTACTGTTTTGAGGAGAGAGGAGGTCAGAGAGGTAGAAGGGTGCAGAGGAGTGCAGGGACTTGAATACAAGGGTGAGGATCTTGAAATCACCTTCTGATAATCTGTTCCAGTTGTTAAATACCCTCTTGGTGAAGAACATTAACAAGGCCCCCAAAATGCTCCTGAGCATTCCTTACTCAGTGCTTGACGAAGAGCTCAAACATGGTCTACTTAGTGAACACTGGTTTGCTTAACGTCCCCTGCTCTATCCAACACACGATCGGCAGGTGGGCGGGTTATCAGCCATTCTGCTCTCTGGAACTCCATCCTGGAGTCCTTCCAGCTTGCTCCTTCTCCTTGCTCAAGGCCAGTTTCAAATCTTACCACTTTGACCAGACATTTGGTCATCTTTCCCCTCTGCAACTGCTCAGCTCCCACATCATGATGAATGCCCATAATACTTTGTCAAGGGCTTTGAGACGTCCTTGCGGCGTAAAGGCACTGTATAAATGTAAGTTCTATTGTGTTTTATGTCTCACGCATTTTAAAACATCAAGCTGACATAGAAATGCATTTTAAATTCTAAAGCCTTTGTAGTCATGAATCTCCTAAGAATATTAGCTAAAGCAGAGCTTCACTCATTTTCTTTCATTGCCTTTGGTGACGTCAGCCAGTAATGGGATTTCCCATTAAAGTCATACAGCGCCACAAGTCCTACATAGAATGCTGAATGGAATTTTTACCCATCATTGATTTGGGGAATTTTAGGAATGTTTGATTTTGTCGAAAGACCTTGTAGATTTTAAGGATTGATTTTTCAAGAATTGATGTATTGGCCGTGCAATAAACGACATTCCAGACATTTGGAAGAAAATGCCGCATGTATTTTTACAGTGCTTTGACATGCGAAAATGTCTCAAAGTGCTGCATAAGTAAGTACTGTCAAGTGTAGTGACAGTTATTGTAGGTAAATATTTAGGGTATTTTAAGCAAATATTAACAGCTGTTCACATATTCTAGTTTGGGTTTAATACAACATTAAACCAGTCCATTGAATGCAAATCAAATATCAAATGCAAGTATTATTATTTTAACAATTGATGTAACCAGACTAAGACTGCTACAAAGTGTATTTTTGCGTTTTTACCCAATTCTCATGGGAAATTGGGCAATTATTTAATTCTAAAAAAAATTCTACATTCTAACCATAATCACTTCATTTCCCTGTTGCAAAAATATTTATTTTCTTCACAAGTACAAGTAATTTAATCATTGCACAGAAACTGATGTCAATTTCACCCATCTGAAATAGTGACATTTGTGATTATAATTCGCCAGCTTTCGACATCAATTTTTTAATTATCTACAGTTTACTGTGAACCCCCTTAACAGGAAATTATGTTACATCTGAACAGCTGTTTTGGGAGTTTGATGTCTATGCTTCACGCTGTGTTCATACTGCACATTTTGTGATGAATCACCTTTGGAAGCCTCATGCTCAAACCATCTTGAACAGATTGTTTCAATGGTACTTAGGTTCTGACTAGAGCAGGAGAAACCCAATAGTGACAATGACTCAGGCTCTTCTCCCAAATGGTCTCATCAATGGATCGTTTTTGAATTTTATTAAAGAGCTGGCGTCTGAGTCTTTAATAACATTGTTACCCCTGGAAAAACGATCCGCCAATCGACTAACAACTGGGTTCCTACGCTAAAGGATGCCACATTAAAGAAAATACAATGCCCAGAGTTCTGGAGGCATGTGGCCTTTGAGAACAATGTTCAGGAGAGGAAGGAGTGGGGGTTGCA